GGGTTTAAAAACAACGGAGATTTCAAGTAGACTTTTCCTTCTCGCTTTACCCCAAGAACATATCGAATGACCTGCATATAAGATCGATCGATTAATTCAAAATCGCAGTCGGACTTCCATCGGCGGCGACTAAAATGGTAATGGCTGGATCTAATGCGACACCGGACAAGCGACCTCGAAGGGGCTAACGCGCGACTGTCAGTCGAGCAATCCTCGTCGGTCACCGTTTGATCGGTCGTAATCCGTACGGTCCTCCGAAGTGGCGGCGTCCTATGCACCTGTATGTGTGTGTGTGTGTGGCCGCGTGAGAATTTCTGTGGGCACAGTATGCACCACGGAGGGCGCCTCCACTCGAGGTGGACGGTCGAGGGTGGAGAACCTCGGCGTGAACATTATGCGGTGCGCCTCGCGTTTAGCTTGATAAATGGCGGCGGCGAATGCCCAGCGTTGTTGCCGTTCACCACGTCTTTCGCCCTTGTCCCCCACTCTTCCAACCTTTTTTCTTCCTCTCGTTTTCGTTTGTTTCGCGGTACGGGGCTTGTTCTTTTTTCCCCTTGTGCCCCGCTACCCCTTTCTCGGTTGTGTTCTCGCGACGACGGAGAGAACAACCCCTGATTTTCAAGGGGGTGCTGCCGAGAATTCGTTCGCGATCCCGACCGAAAACACAGCCACAGAAAGAAGCGTGATCATTATTTTACGTGGTTTTCGGACTCAGGGCATGCGATTATTCACCCTGGCTCGCGGAGAAGTGTTCTTACGTGTAATCGGGTCATCGCATTACCGTGCCCCACGGAGGGGGAAACTTTTTTAATCACGTTTGCCCGCCAGTGGATTATTACTTCGACTTCCGGCCGCGGACTCGTATACCACGAATTAAATGGTTCCCGCGTATTTTCCATTCGTTATTCATATTTTTTTATTGTTTTTATGCTTCTTTGGTTTCTTCTTCGACTTCGTCGCGCTCGTTGGAAGTTTCATTAATCGTCGTACCACCACGACGGAAGTGAAGGTTCTTCGGATACTGATACGATAGTTTCCTGGGTTTTTGAATGTATTTTTCCTTGCTCTTCGACTATTGAAAAATCGAAGTTGGGTTCGAGGAATTTGTAGAATTTGATTAACTTTGTTTCCAGGGTGATTGATATTAGAGTGGGGAGTCAAAATAATTTTTGTTGGTCAAATAGTTTAGTGGTAAATGGAGCTGGTATGGAATTATAACTAGACTGCGGATTCTTATTAAAAATATCGTTCTACGAAATGATTTATAAAGACAGGAGTAATATTCGAAAACTCTTTCATTTTTCACAGATTGTCTTGGAATAGAAATCTAATAAAAATATTATGAAATACTGAATTTTTGTCCTGTATTGTATTACACATTCTTCTACATGCTGGAAATGCATGACATCCGCAGTCTAATCGCAAAAGTGAAAAGTTGATCGTTTGATATCGGTAGACTGTCTATAATTCAACCGGGACTCGATATTATATCTATCTCATTAATAAATAGATTATTTTCATGAAAAATTGTAGATTCGATTTAGAAAAACAACTCTTGTTTTTACTGAGCGGTCAGTTTGCCCGGTTGATATGTTGAAAACTTGCTTCGACCTTACGTTTTTGTTTTGTGAAGCTTTTATTCTTCGTAACGCACCTTAACAGTTCTCACCAAGTATTTCCTCTTCGTTTAACTCCTCCTTCGACGTCTCATATTCTTTTTCTCTTCTTCGATTTCTAAGACTGGCTTCCCAGAGAGAATTTTTCATTTTCTCTTCTTGACGATGGAAACGCTTCGCCAGTCGGTGTTTTTTTTTTTTGTTAACGGTCGAACGGGTGGGAATAATGAAAACGGTTTTCATCTTCTGCATTATTTCAAGTGGGAGTATCGGTGTTGAGTCCCGAATTAAATCGTCCGCAAATTAACGCCTATGCTAATTACTACTGAAAATCGATGCGGTGCTGTTGTTGCTGGCTCTTCGACGTTCGTTCCGTGTTCGCTGAGCAGACATGCGACCCCCCGTGCATTCGTGAACAATTCCATTTCATTACGGTGAAACTATTGCTGTGTAAACGACAATTTTTCAGACGAATCTGTTGATTAAATTTCGTAACTGGCCGAAAAATGTTGTTTCGCCTAGTTTTTTTTTTAGCCAGAATTGTTTTTCAGTTTCACGGTTTTTACCGTTTCCGACCGTCCATTAAAATAACCATTCAGCGTTCGAAAGTTTCTATTACGTTCGTGTAACAAAAACATGGAAGGAATTTCTAGAAATCGTGATCCGATAACCGTACAATCCTTAAGTTTAATTATTGCATAAGACACTTATTATACGTATTGACGTTGTAAAGAAATCAATACTCAATAGGATCCTCGAAGAATTTCTTCACAATGCAGCTGTCCCGTCGTTGCTTTCGAACGCCACGATAACTTATTTACCGAGGAACTTTTCCAACAATAGCTGCAGTTGCACCAGGGAATATTATCGTGACAGATGAAAGAACTTCATTGTATGATTCCTCCTGCAAACTTCAGTGTCATAATAATAATAAAAGAAAGAAAAAATAAATGAAAAATATTTGTTGTGTGCACCATAATTTCAACCTCACTGTGTCACTTCAACGCAGAAGTGAATACTACCCTTTAAACGTGATACAATAACGAATTAAGTAATAGAGTTCTGGTAGCGTAACGGCTACGTCAAGCAACGTGGAGTACACAAAAGAAAAAGGAAACATTCGTAAGATGTCATAGTACCCAATAGAGATTTCAATAAAGCGTTTAACTTGCTATAATATAGGGAGCCTCGTCTCCTACGCAATGTATTAATCGATACAGAAATGGCACTTTGTCATACGGCGCAGCGTTATTCGCGCAATGTGTCGGTCGTCGAAGTAAATAAACGTATTACGATCCAGCTCGCGATAGGGAGAAATTAATTACTCGGTTGCTGTCGCGTACCATCCGCTACTGGTCGGAATTTGTTCCGGTTAATCGTATACTGCCGTAATTTTCCGCAGATGGGGAACGAACAAGTTTTCGTTAACAGTTCGGCAACCGATGGGCTAGATCTGTATCGTCTGCGAGACATCGTTGAACTATAAAATGGGAAGATCCAATTCCCTCTTTATAGCCGCACCGTTTGAGATTGACAGTGCATTCTTAGCGAGTGGTCGACACGATTGGGTCTATCGTTTCGTTGTTTGACGACTCACATCCGCGTTGTTCCCCCACTCTAACTACCAACCAGGCGGCTAGTTCATTGTCAGCTAGTGCTATAAAGAAAAAGTTAGTACTGTATTCGATCTGATAAAAACTTCAGTCTGGTTCTGTGTTCTTCGTTTGACTAATCTCATTTTTGTTACGGAAACGAATGATTAATCTGTAAATCAATCGGAATTTCTATTTTATTCCTGATTTGTTTCTCGAGGTATCCGGGTGATAAATGTGTAAATCGTAATTCCAAGTACTTCATGAATCACATCAACCGTGCAGTGTCAGTTCACAGCTACCTAAATGTACTTAAACAATTCAATGCAACCGAGCGTAGAAGGTAAAAAAAAGGGTGGTTGTAGAAGTTTCGCGGAAAACCGTCCAAGCGCCGTGAGCTTTGGTGAAATGCAACGAGAAGCGGCGAACAGGTCCGATAGAAAAACCGTAGATCCGCGGCGAGAGTGGGATCAAGACCGCTCTTACGTTCCTAACCGACATTTATTGAGAAAGAGAGAGAAAGACAGAGAGAGAGAGAGAGAGAGAGAGAGAGAGAGAGAGAGAGAGAGAGAGAGAGATCCCTTATCGCGACTGTTCGCGCGTGTTTACTTCGGTCTCCATCGAAAGCATTTTTCGTATAAATATCGATAATTACGAGGACATAGAGTTCTTCCGGAAGTGCGTGGTTATGACACGCAGAGGGGGCAGCGCGCACAGCGCGACGATCGTACGTGTACTCGCTTTCGGTTTATTGGTCTCTTAACCCTTTCAATGTTTATGCCGAGTATACTCGTCATGGTGTTTCTTTCTTCACTAATACACGTCATTAAATAAAAAGATTTGCATTTGCTGTTTAAAGTAATATATCGGTAAAACAAAAAACATATTTGCAATTTTAAAATATTTTAGGACAAAAAATGAACAAAAAATGAACAAAACCGAAATATGGAGCAGTATGTGTCAGAGAGCTGTTTGATAAGGCAGTGGCTTATCTTTTCGACAATAGATCGCGGTCAAGTCGCAAGAGTAATTTTGTCATTGTATTAGAATTCATTTCAATTTCACAAGCAAATGCAATTAACTCTGCTTCCGTCGAGTATACTCGTCGCTGCGTAAAAATAGTTCAAGAGCACAAGTGCACGTTTCCAAAATGAAATATAAAGCAGTCAAAGGGTCAACGGATCGCCGCGGCGGCGAATATGTACGTTCGAAGTAACGGTTGCCGGGCAACGATTCGCCCTTTTGCGACGCGATGACGTATGAAACCCGCGCCACGCCACGCCACGGAAAACGGATCCGGGCTGTCGATCGGTATTCCGGTCTCCTCTTACTCCTCCCCTCCGTCTTCCATTCCCCACGGCTCCGCACACATCCCGTCGGCGGCGTGGCTGAATAATTGCGGAGGAAAGGCGATCCTTTGTACTCTGATCCTCCTCTTTGTCTCGATGCTTGTTCCGTTCGCCCCACCCCTGCCCCTCCCCCTCCTTGGATCGCTCGTTTCGTACTCCCACTTCTCCTCCGCTCTCCTCGTCCCTTCGTCTCTTTCGTCGCGCAGTCTCAATTTCCGTTTGTCCCGCCGAATGGGTTAGGGTTTAATCGTTTGGCGGCCCCGACACGAGGACAGACGGCCGGATTATTTCCGCGTTGCGTCGTCACCCGTGGATCAGTCACCTTGGTGCCAACCGTTTAGGACACGCTGTCGATCGCCGCGTTCGCCAGCAGCCGTGGTACGTGGTTCCCCCACGCCATCGACAGCTGGCGCTCGAGGCGCTTCGAGGCATCCGGTCACGTGTCGGTTCGGTTCGGTTCAGAAAACGTCGACCGTCGTGGAAACAATACACACACTGTCTGTTTCTTGTCCTGCGGCGTTTTTTTTTTCGTTTGTTTTTTTTTCTTCTTTTTTTAAGTCCGTCCACACGAACACTCGCACCGTCGACGGTTCCACACCTTGTGTCACTGCACCAACACCGTGATTTCCGGTCGCACGAACCCGCGTACGCCCCTCATTAGCGCACCTTTTGGTGTCCTGCCTCCTCACAGACCGGCAGATTCCACGATGGACCGCCCCTTGTTTATCGTCGTCGGAAGTTAGGAGGTGGGGGATGGCCTTAGTATGCCGGGGGATGATGATACCAGTTAGTAGAGTAGCAGACACAGACAGAGAAGGAGGGAGTAGAGCCTCGGTTGTTTGGCTTGACCGCCGTGCTGCATTGCCGCGGGATACTCTCCTGAAACAGGGGACGACACTTAAATTTTCTGAAGAGAACGCTGCTACGGGAATGGTAATGCGACGCGTCTCCGGTGATTCTTGCCGGAGAGGCGTAACGTCGACTACTGCTTGGGAATCTATGATCGGTGGATGAAATATGGCGAATTTATAGCGTTAGCTCTTTGAAGAGCATCACATTTGGGGAGGCTAGATAGCATTTTAGTTGTGTGCAATAAAGTACAGAAGACTATAGTAAATACTTGATGAAAAAGTCGAATTGACCTCAAAATAACATCTAAACTTGACCCCTATGTCGTGATCAAAGTCTCCATCAGATGCCACTTTTTAAACCTCAAAACTATTGTAACGAACATTTTTTGCTAAAACGTAATTCCTCCGAGTTAATCCGGGGTACTCTGCACGATCCCCCACGCAGTGACTTAGATAAAGATCAGCCCGAGCATATTGTCCCATAACAGAATGATCCGGATTCATTACAGAGATCTAACGAGCGCATTCCTTCCTCGGCCCCCCGATTCACAACCGGCGTATTCAATTTCAAATTAACGCCCAAAGCGAAGTCTGCTGCTCGCGATATTAATCCGTCCGATTAAAAAAAAAGTTCACCCGCCATCGTAGGGTCGCGGCCGGTTATTAATTCCCGGGCTGGGTCTAACGGGGATAATAAAAGAAGCCAGCGGTGATTACGGTTCGATAACGAGGCGACAAAGGGATCCTAGGGGCTTGCAATTAAGTAGAAACCACTCACCATTGAGTACGTGCACGGTGATCGATTGCGCTTGAGCATTACTAGGATTACATGTGTACCGTCCCGAGTCGGATAGTTTCGCTTCCTGCACAAGCAGGAAACTCGTGGTGCTGTCGCCCTTCTCCGTGACCACGGATACGCCGCCTCTGATCGAGTCGTAGCTGATTATCTGCAACAAAGGTCGTAGCGGTTTTAGCCGAGCAACGGGAAACGGTCTGGACAGCGGTGAAACACACTGGGACTGGGTCGAACGAGCGACCTTCATAGGGAAGGGAAGAGGGAGGGGGTTGGGCGAGACCCATCCCCCTTTTATTCGCCAGCTGGAAGTTGAGGCTTGGACGAGGAACGAGAGAGATAAGCTATCCAGGCTACACCTCGACATCCGCCGACGTTGAATGAACGTCGATACGAACGAGGGTGGAGAGGTGAAATTTCTCACTCTTTCCCCCTCGGTGATTTCTCTCTTTGTGCTCGGTCGGGGGGTCGCTAATCGAAAAGAACTGGTACAACGCGAGGAAGAGGATATCGTGTACCCCTATTTGGAGTGAATACCTGCGGGATCGTAATCAAGAGTCTTGGACCTATATGTATAGAGAGGGATAACGTATACGTACGTTCCGGAAATTGTACGTCGACGTTAGAACGGTAATTAAGTCTTTCGTTGCCACATGTTTACGTATTCTCAATTATGAAACAAAACATTAGTATTCTGTAGTTTTTATATCTGCGAATGTATAATAGTTTCTTCTAGTCTTGTATAAGTGGTAGGACACAAATTTAAATGTGCATTTGAAATGTATTATCGGTGAAATAAGACATTACTTGTCCTTTGTCTCATTCATTTGGTGGAATTCAAGTGTTGAACAACAACTACAATAGAAATTTACAAAACTGTAATTTCATTCAAATATGTCAGGAGTGTCTATTGATCCAAGGTTACAAAAATTGGGTTTCATTGTGAGTAATAATATTACAATGGAAAATTATTATATATAACTGTAATAAAAGTAAACAAGTTGTCAAATGGCAATCAATGAAAAATGCCATTAGACAATTTCAGAATGTTCAAATATTCTTGTGAATCATTAATATATCTAATGTACACGGAAATAGAATAAAATATTTCTTTAGTAATTTTTAAATAACTTGGGAATGAAAGAGTTAACAGTTATCCTGTTGTATTATACTTAGACACGTGAAGTCACTGCCAGGGATAGCTCAACAACGAACTTTTTCATACCAGAGTTGCAATTACTAAGTTTTATACTTTCTGACAGTACATTCTAAAGAAAGTACAGTGAACTTAAAGTACTGACTATGCTGTCCTATCCAGCAATGTAAGGCAACCCTCTTCGAGATAAGATCTGCGTATCTGCACGATAAATAAAAGTTTGTAAGCTTCATAATAAGTCAAATAATAAGCTTCATCTTCATCGCCGTCTATCAACCTACAAACCTCAAATTTTCATTCGTGTGTACACAATCGTTCCGAGGAACACCTCGAATACGGAGCCAACGTCCGAACACGTAACGGGCATATACATACACTGTCAGCCCGTACAAACGTTCTGTTTATCCTGTCCCTGTTCCACTTGACGTTCGTCGCGAGTGTCTCTTTAACAGGGCTCATAAGGGTCGACGTACGCTCGTGAGCTCGGACGGAGGGGTAAAAGCAGAGACAGCGCTGTCGTCGTCGGCGCTGAGACGGATTTCTAAATAAATGATCCGGCAGCTTCAGCCTTCGGTGCTCCCCGGTCTTGCGCGCCGTCTTCACGTCCTCCTAAGGGTGGCACGCCCTTTGCAAAAATTTCTTGAAACTCATTCTTAGGCCCGTTTTGTATTCTGACCTCTCGTTTTAGAGTCTTGACCTCTTTACGATTTTCCATTAGCCTCTTCAGGGGCGAAGTTATTAAGACCAGAAAGAATATATTTTTTATTCTTCGGCTGTATTTAATTAAAATGTATTTATAAATATTAATGACCATCAATTGGTAAAATATTCTTTTTTGTGGAGAAATGTCCTAGTGAAAATGTCCTATTGAAGAATTAACTTCGTTTATTTGGAAAAAATAACTAATTTGAGAATTGAAAAGGGAATTAGAGAAGAAGAGAATTGAATCTAAATAAAATCCCTTTGTCTAAAATGTATAACTTTTTTATCATTAAAAATAGAAAAAAGCAAAAAAGGGTTAGTGTACCCAATGTATGATGTTGCGAAAGCTATAATTATTACAGTGGCGGATATCTTCGCGAAAAGTAAGCCCGTACCGTTGTTCGTACATGAATTAACAACGACGATACGTTTATCGTGCCGAACGTTTCGGTGCACAGTTCGGCTGAATGGCTCAAAGTATGATTAATCGAACGAGAAAGTTGTAACTCTCGTGTGCTCGATAAGCGACCCCCGGCTGTTCCTTCCGTTCTGTTATCTGGCTCGTGATGTAACGCGGAATAATATGCGAAACTTTCATTCGAAAGTGCCACGGTTAATCCGGGCTCCGTGTACGACGGATAATAACGACGACGACGACGCATACGTTTCGCCTTTGTGTCCCTGTACGTGGAACTATGCGCGCTAAATCCTGTTGAACTTTCCTGCCGTGCACGGGGAAAAAAAGGACGGAATTTCGATACGGGGCGCAAAGTCCCGCTAAAGTTCCACGTCGTTATTCGCCGTAATCCGTGAAACGAGAAATTAGCGTGATACGATTGGGATGTTTCCTTTGCGTTTCATTAATATTTTATTTAACACAAATATAAAGTTTTGTAGAAATTATTGAAACGGCGTGACAGTGTATTTTCATCATAAATATGTAACATGTATTTTCCAAAAAAGAATTGGTGTGCAGAACTTAACTCCAATCAGCTTTTATTTCATTTGTTTCTCGTACCAATTACGAAAGAAGATGGATCAATTTTCCTGATAAGTATCTTCAATTACGACTTCTGTTTCTGAGACCCGAAGTTCGTCATTCGCATCAAGCCATCGTTCAAAACCATTAAACTGTAAAAATGTCCAAAGTAGACCATCAACGTTCCAAATCGAATTGCAGGAACGCCTCACTTCCCGTCCAGGAAATCTTCAGTGGCAACTGTCTCGGCAGCCAAGAGCCAGACAGGAAAAAGCCAAGCTCTTCGGCAACAACAGAAGCAGCCAGCGTTCCTCTTAATGCCTTAAAAGAAATCTCCCGGAACATACAAGAGCTGTTAGCGCGTCCCCTTAAAGAGACACCCCGTTCCAAATCTCGTTTCGTGAACCAAAAAAGGTACAGATAAACAGAAAGAATATCAGAAACGACGTTCTACAGAAACGGAAAAGAAGTTGAAGTTCGTGTGACGCTTTCCATCCCGCGACAACGAAGAACGACAGTTCCCAGACAGAAATCAGGATTCTACTATTTTCTGATCGAGTTACCGTGATTCCAGGAGATCCTCGTGGGATCACGGGGTGAATAGAACGCCGCCGCAGTTCGACGAACTAGATAATTTCGACTGCGTGTCGCTGGGGTTCGTGATTCTGGCGAGTTTTAAACGTGCGCGCGCGCACGCCAGAGACAGAGATGGGTTCCCCGAAGGAGGGAAAATGGAAATGGAAGGAACACCCGTAGGATAGAGTCTCGTCAGCCTCATTACGCGTTCATAGGAGAAATCGGCGTCCCACGGGATCCTCGACGGCTCGATGGAACATCTTGGACTCAATGGTCCATTGGAATGGTTCTCCAGCCGGCACGTTGCTACTTCTGTCTTATCAGCCTTTTTTTCGCCGCCCCCGATAACGACTCCCCTCCCCTCATCCCTTCGTATGTTCCTTCTAGATTCTTCCCTCGACTTATGTCTGCCGCCTCCTCGCGTCTTAATTTATCTACTTCATTTAAATCGATAGCCTTTTCAGCTTTGATTGAATCCCCGGGAATCGAGAGAGCGATTTGCTTTGCCCGCGTGAGATCGCTGCGCGGAAAATGGGGGCAGAAACGGCGGCGCTCGAAGCTCGATTTATCGCGCGGGATATCGTTGCGAAATTAAGGATATCTATTGGGATTTCTTTTGGATTGGTTCACGACGCCGCACGTATGGAATACCGTTAGTTTGTTTAAGTGTATCGCGAGCGGGGCCAGCTACGAATCAGTTCGATCGGATCTGTAAGCTGATGATGGATCGAACGGTTTAACGGGGGTATTCTACTGTAGACGCCCGTTTGCAATGTGATATTTGGAATTTTTTTTGTAAAGAAACAGTTACACTGTTTGCAGTAAACATTTCGGGGTACATGTATACGTATTTCCAGAACATTTATAATTTTTTATGTCGAGAAAAAAATAAATATTGGTGTCATTGCATGCCTTTGTACACAATCGCGTATAAAACAATATGGTGTCCGTGATTCCGATCGTTCTGTAACATGTATACCTATCTGAAATAAAAAAACAAAAGATTCTTAATTAGGATGCGTTTCGCTATAGCAGGTACCAGAATCAATTCAAAATACGTCTTTTTTCTATTTTTTGTTGTCACCGAAAGTTAAAGAAACATGAAAAAATCGATAGTTAAATTTTAAAGTTCCGCAATATTTAATATAGCGCTGCAGTAGAATGCATCGAAATGTATAATAGAAAAGCTTCTCGTGAAGTAGACACCACGGCTACTGATTCGCCGGTTGTGTCGCTAGACGTTCAGTGCGGTTTGATGTTTAAGGTGGCACACTTTGGCACCGTTCCAGACAATTTTCGCGTACCGCTCGCGCAATCCTGTTATACAGCTGCGCGAAATATCCAGAGGAATTCGAAAAACTCGGTTCCTTAAATCAGATCTAATACCAGTTCACGGAGCTGAATAAAACACGAATAAAATAAGTTCAGAAGGTTCTTTCGCTTTAAGGGGTCATATACGTTTCTCAGCATTAAAAAGTGGCCAATGCTTTGTGAGTGATTGAGGGAAAACTATTAGGCCGATTGGATTGATTTTTCTTGGATTACAAAAGTACATGTTTGTACAGTAGAGCACTGTAAAGATTTATAAAAATAGTGCTGTAGTGTTCAGTAAATAAACATTAGAATTAAATAACGCCTAAGTCTCGAATATTGCTCATAGGTAGCGAAACCACACCATTAATAATATAATCGTAAAAAATATTAACCGTCTTATATCGAACGATACAATAATAAATTACCA